TAATAATAATAATAATAATAATAATAATAATAATAATAATAATAATAATAATAATAATAATAATAATAATAATAATAATAATAATAATAATAATAATAATAATAATAATAATAATAATAATAATAATAATAATAATAATAATAATAATAATAATAATAATAATAATAATAATAATAATAATAATAGTAATAATAAAAATAATAATAATAACAATAATAATAATAATAATTATGGTAATAAATAATAGTAATTACTAGTGACAATTGTAGTGATAACAAAGTAAAAGATAAAAAATGATGAAAAGTTCTACTACTGTTATAAGGAAGATAGCAAAGGTAATAATGATTTATTATTTCATCATAAATTCGGAATTCCAGATTTTTGTTGGCAAAGAGTACTGGTTCGAACAGGAATGATGCTGACAGTGGTTTTCGTTGCAGAAAGCTTACCTGTATTTGGACCAGTGCTAGGTTTAGTGGGTAGTTCAACCTTAACCCTCACTTCACTTATTTTTCCATGCTTATTCTACCTGTACTTGACAGTTGGTGATGAAATTTCTGAAGAAAAGGGAAAGAAAAAGCCAGATGAGATACCTTCTTTTGCTGAGTTAGTTGGATTCTTTCAATTAAAAACTTTCCCTATTATCTATTTGTGAATAGGTAATGAACTGACTTTTGAATTTTTTCTGCTTCTTAAAATAATTGCTCGACCTCAGATATTTGTAGATTTTCAAATTCCAGCAGATTTTACAATAATTCAAAGAAACTTGGTTTAGTCATCGAAAAAAAAATAAAATGCCAATCATTTTTCCACAGTTAATTTCTTAATAACACGGTAATTACTTATAGAGTGCTGTTACGATCACCCAGACGACGTTTGATCATCTGCTCATTAATTATTGGTGAGTTAATCAACCATTGCTTTCTCTTATTTAATCACTGGTAAATTTTAATCTTTTATCAGTGAGTACTTATCTTTTATGTCCAAAATATATAACTGGAAGGTGAGGACTGGTGAGTATACGAGATGCGATAAGTATGTCATCTAATGAAAGAAGCCAAATTAGATAAGATTGTGCATATCATTCTTCGAATTTAGATTTTGGTATCAGCTATTAATATTTATACAAATCTTTTAATTCAATGGAAATTAAAGCAATCAATAGAATTAAAAGTCAATGAATAAAGCTGCAAAAGTTTCTTAATTATTTCGTAGCAAAACAAAGTATTGTTTGATTGTTGTGGAAGTAAATCTTCTTCGAACGCAAAATTAGGAAAAATAAATAAATAAAATATTTTGTAAAGATGAAACCAAAACAAAACATCGAATCATGTGATCAGCATGATCATGTCATATGAGTGACAAAAGTGATAACTGTAAACAAGCAATTATTGTGATAAATGTGGAGAGATTACGCTTGCAGAGTCTTTATTTATGACATTGTGTGAGCAGTAGTTTTTGAAGAGCTTTGAAAACTTTTTGCTTTTTATCCATAAGTTGTATCCATTTATAGATTAGATAGATAGATATAGCTCATCGTGCAAAGAGCTCTTCAAGTTGTACAATGATAACTTCGAGCACGGAAAAAACTCCATTTAAAAGAGGTCAAAGTTCAGCCATATCCATTTCTTAGCAGGGTCAGCGCATTTATGGAAATATTTCAGAGGGAAAATGATGAATAAAACTGAAAATTTCGAAAATTAGGGTCAATTTCCAGCAAGCTTCTTCGAGATGTTTTAAATAAAATTGTGAGGAAAAAAGAGAAATAAATGTGTAGCAAAGTTAGTAATTATGTTTTCATTGAAGTTAGTGGATTGATTGGTGGTATTTTGGCAACCTATACATCACTCAAGGAAATGGCAACAACGAGATTCACTGAGCCATGTTACATCCAACCGTTTTTACCATCTACGGATTCGAAACCTCCCGAGGGTTATCTGAATTGTTGTGGAGCGTGGCAAAATATTTCACGATTAGGGGACGATGCCGATTGCAATCCGTATCTGGACTTCTATAATGAGAAATAGATGAACGAATATCCATCAAATTTGCTTTTATTCTTGAAGCATTCCGGAAAAAAAATCGAAAAAATTTAACTATTCGACAAAAATTGATTAAAATTTTCCAATATGGATTGATTGTTTAAGCAATATTTGAAAATGTTATGATTTTTTGAAAAATTATTTGTGGACATAGAGAATCCGAAGGATTTACCATTATAAGACCCAAAATTGTTGCTTTATGTTAAACAGTATTTTGAAATTTGAAAGTTTATTTGTCAATTTGCTGCATAATATTGCAAGCAAAAAACAGCACACAACGATCAAAAAAGCATTATTAACTAGTATCTAACTATGTTAGCTTAACAATTTGTCAATTTGATATTTGGAGGGAATTTCAATGTTAGGAGGAGAAGTGCCTTTATTTAGAACTAACAAACGAATGGCAAGTTTTCGAAAAAGCTGCTGAAAATTTTAAGAATTTTTATTGAATTTTTATTTCCTCCAAAATTTTAGCAGCGATCTAAATGAAGTCTGATCGGATCATGATGGAAATATATATATATATATATATATATAATGATTGAAATAAATGTACACATTGCTTGCCATTTTGCTTTTCAATACTAATTAAATTTGATTGATCGAAGTTACACAATATTCAAATCTATTGATTAACACACACTGTTAAAACATATCACCAAAATTTAGTTTCATTTTTAGCATTGTTATTCTTTTTAACTCTTACTTTTGAAATTCAAAACTTTGTTTATCATATTTATTTTAATGAAATTACTTCTCAGTTCTTATCAATCCTGAAAACATGTAATTACAAAGTTCTGCAACAAATTCAGCATCATCCTATTGAACGTGATAAAATTGCAAAAATTTTCTTTAAACTTTTTAATCTAAGTTTAAATTGTGATTTTCATGTGCATAATCCTTTTCTTTTTCTACCAACTTTAATATTTACTTCTGTTGTTCCTTTTTAATCGTAAATAAATTTAACATGTTTACCTTCTTTGACAAATTTCCTGAATAAATTATTATGATATAGCTCTCAATGACCAATTGTTTTTTCAAAAAACTCCAAACGATACTGCATCTTGATTTCAAAGTGAAACTATATTTTAATCACACTGCAACAGTATCAATGATCGAACGAAGGCAAATTTTGAAAAACTTCACGTGGTAGAATTCAAGTTGCGAAAATTTGCAAATTTGAAAAACTTTATTTAAAATAAAAAGACCGCTTGTTTTGAACTTTGAAAATTCAAATGGCTTATATGAGTTTGCATTTTTTTATACAATTTGAAAGTCCAGAAATTACGGAAAGCAGTCATTCATACAGATTTGGTGTTTTCAAGAACGTGTGTTCTAGTGTTTGTGAACCGAAGTACTGCGAAGGGCGGAATAATGGAAGGAAGGCTGTCTTTGTCGACGACTTCTACAATTCAGTGAAAATGTTGCAAATTGTTTAAAAACTGAAAAAAATTTTGAAATTTTGTTTGTTATTAAAAAACAAAAGGAAAAGATCTTAGAACCTGAATTTCGTGAAGAATTATACAGAACTTTTAACAACATTGTAATGATTTTTTTCCGGTAAAAGTCTTTAAAATTTTGAGGAAAAAATAAATTAAAGAACAACAATACGGGACCATTGAAAATTACGAGATAAATAGTCTTATAAGGCCGTAAATTAATTAATAAGCGTGAATATCTAAATTTGTTTTCTTTTTTCCAGTATTATCATCCTTCAGAAGAGTTACTTTACCTTTTATTTCTGCCCAATCCTTCCTTTTTCAATCTAAATAATATAGTCAGTTGCAATTAAGAAAACTTTGCACAATAATTACAAGCTCGAAACCACTTGAAACTTTACTGTCGTTTAGTTGAAATTTAGAAAAAAACTTGGTTTGAGTATTTAAGCACATTTGAAAACTTTTCAACTCGTAAACTGAAGTCGAGATTTTTAGAACGATTTTTGGCAGTAAAAGACTTTTATTCCAATTTTTCTAATTTCATTCTTTCTTTTTTGTAACAGGAATTTAACGGATCACCGTGTTATTTGCTTGAGTTCCGGTAGAGAGATCCTATGCAAAGCAATCAGCTATTGCCATCATCTTTTATTCGCAACGGTTTACGGAAAATTTGAAGAATTTGGTTGTGATTTACCGGAATATCAACAAGCAATCGCACTCGCCTATATACCACCAGAAGATAATTATCAGCAAATCTGCATTTCATCAGGCTTGTTTCATATTATTGGAAGCATTAGATCCTTCTGATCATTTTCACCAAATATGTAAGAAAAACGTGAACTGCGATCACTTAAGTTGAATTTGAAATAGTCCTTTCCCATTTAATTTGGAAGAAAAAGTTAGAATATAATAACAATTAAGTTAGAATACAATAATAATTAACAAAAAATTTATAAATCAATTTTTGGAGCATTTGACTTTGCTTTCATATTTGTCATCAATAGCTTCAGAATTCAACTGAAGCTATGTTCAATATTGAAATCAGTTAAAAACTGTATAAAGACACAAAATATTGCTTCTAATCTGCAGGAAGTACAAAACTGTGCTACTGTACTATGTCGCGATGTAATGAGCAATGGATTGTCGGTACGACACAACGGGAATTTAACAGCAGTGATTTACTATATTTACTAACTGGGCTGGCATTTATCATCGTACCATGGAATACTCTTTTATGTTACATCAGCTGGCAATGCATGAAAATTACACCAAGCAGTTTTTCACTATCGCTTCCACGCGGTACTTTAAGTGGCATTCAAAAATGTCCTCTTGTACTGTTTATCCTAAAGGTAAGTAAGGTATATTAATCAATGATAGTTTTGCAAAGCTTTCAAAATGTATTCCTTTCCATTTAGCAAATTGCATAGATACAACTCTTATCACTGTATCAATACCCACATTTGATACTTAGAAAACAGCTAAAGCCCGAAAAGAATCTCCGCATCTTCTACAAGAAGGTTCAGTGAAAACTAACCAGTAAACGCATCATTGTGTCTCTCCGGAATATCGCATAAGGTTTAATTTTTGTTCCACTCCAACAAGATACAAGTTCTACCACCAACTTGCACTCAGATAATCCTCTTGGCATGTTTGCTTCTTTCATCATGGATTCCCGCAGTAGTAACCTGCACAAGTCGTGGTCTAGGACGTCATATCGCTGAATTAATATTCCTGCCACAGATATTTCATAATACTTCACCGTTATCTCTATTTTTCATCCCGTTCGGTTTTCTGCCAGTGATGCATATCCCAGCTGTTGCATTTTGTATGATCATTACAGTAAGCCATTTGAGATGTTTTCATAATAAAAATTAATTTAAACAAATATTAAATTATAGTGAAGGACATGATCCAAAAACATTTGAAAGCACATAGTGAAAGCTGATAATCCCAAACTGAAGAAAAGCTTGAGACATTTGATTAGAAGTCGATTAACGTTGGTTTTAATTGCATTTTAAATAGAATTCTCTCCAGGTTAGTGAAGAAACTTATCACGTGAGCGCAATAAAAACAATCATGATATACTGCAGTACTGTATTCGCCATTCTTTATTACCTATCAGCATATTTCATGCACAAAGCAATTAATTCATTTAAGGAGTCATATAATTTGGAATGTGCTGTTAAAACGAGACACTGGATGGTAAAATCTAACTTTAATCTTTTCCATCAGTACTTTCAAAATGTAAATTGGATGTGTCAGATGTTATCTGCTAAAAAAGCTTCATAATCAAAATTCCCTCCCCTTTGACTAAATGTTCAGCCTTAAATTTAAAAAGCGAACTGCAATAGTGATCGGAATGTACTGCCCTTCGATCCATCTTACAAGCAAAACCAATCCATTATATTGCGATCAAATCTTTACTTTGTGTTTTTTAAAGTCTAAAATTCAAGCCTCAATATGGTCTGAAAATACTCATGAAAAAACTTCCAATATCAACTAAAACTGCCACTGTTAACTTCATTTACCACCTTTCTTTTATCAAGCATCAGCTTTCAATCATCATTAACCTACTACACGACCTACAATTCCAAACGATAGGAATGCCCGCTAAAGTTTAGCAGTATCAGAGAGAAAGAAAAACAACAAACAAAATAGGTGGCAGTGATATTTGCATACTTGATTGGTGCCTCGTGTATGATAACGGCTGTTCTCCTGATTATCATCCGACTGACTGAAGCAAGCAGTAAGAAGAAAGATGACCCTTTGATGAATGAAGATGTGGTGGAATCACCTGGAGAAGCAAGCAATGTATCAGTGAGTACCGCACAGTCTGTACCATTTCATTCGAACTACGGTACCATCGAACTCTCACCACAGGTTAGCATTTTCAAAAAGGTTATCTTTGTTTGATAAATACCAGCAAATAAATAATAAATCTTTTCATGAATGTATTAGAACGCATTAGCAGTAAGCTTCACCTGTTTTTTTCGATAGTTGGTAAGTTACCGCCATCAGGAAACTAAATCTATTAATCATCCCAATAATCCTCATGGTGTGATCTTTATCTAGTTGTCTTGATTGATTTCACTGATAACTGCGGTTTCATTTTTGTTGAGTTCACCGAAAAGCTCAATCCATTCCCAAGACTCCCCCACAATCATTGTACTTTGATGTCACACGTTATTACTTACTTAATGCTATCTCATTTAGTATTACTCATCAAGTCATAACTAACAATACTTCATCACCACAAAACGTAATTTCAGCCATTTGTCGTTAATAGCGATAGCAATGGAATCCTGAATCTGAGAAATGCTTACAGCAATCAATGGGTTGCTATTCGAATTCTTACCAACAACGACGAATTAAACATTCATCCAACCAAATTTCTGTTACCACCAGGACGTATCAGCGCTGTGAGCATTTTTTATAAAATTTTAACCAAATGAATTCAGATTTCACATTTTTCACCTATGCAAGTAAGCTGGTAAGCAAGAAATAAATAATTAATCAAAACAGGCAATAACTGAAGTTATAAATAGAAACTATAATCCATTAATTTTATAAAGTACGGAATACAATGGGAAAATTCTAATTTATATATTGTGTCTTCACAAGAAGCCCATTCCGAGAGAGTAGGAGAAGAAGGAAGTCGTTCATATATCTTTACATATTAAAAATGAACGTTCAAAATAGATGAAACCAACCATTAATCAGTGAAAGCTTAGTAATTTAAGCATGAATAATCGAAATTGTAACGGAAACAGTAGGAAGTTAACAGAATAAATATCTAAAGTAAACTTATTCTTGGAAACGCTCGGAACTTTTTCGTTCATTTTAGGCCGAAGTGACGATGGCAAATTATGATGTAGTGAACGAAGAGCTGCCTAGCCGGATCCTTATACAATGGTACACAATAGGAGCGTACTGTCCAGCACGAAACGTGGACACCCTGTGGACAAGACCATACTATGTTCCACGTGATCAATGGCATTACAAAATTATTCGTATTTATCCCGGTTTTATCTGATTTATCCTTGAATCAATGGCATAATTCATTTGATCAAGTTTGAACTATCAACTGTAATTAAAAAAGTGATAGAGAATGCAAAAGAAGCGTCCAATTACTATCAGTTGTTCTTTAGTAACAGAAATAGCTCAACCTCGTTTAATTTCTGCGCCTCATTCTCATGAATGTGACCTGCGTGTAGTGATGATTCTGGGCTCGTACGTGTACCATCAAGACGGGATGAACGTCAACATAATCTCAATCCCACGTGTGCTTTGTCTACCAAATACCACTAAAGGGTTCCCCTCCTCGAATTGATACACAACGTTTCATAGAAGTCTACGTGGAGAGGCTTGCATTCAGGTTGCGATTTGAGTTTAAGGTCGTTGTACTCCTAGCGATGTTACCCGTATTTCCGGGAATAAAGTTAAACGTTAATTTTTTTTTCCGAGACACGTGTTAGAGCTCACTTTCAGGAGATGCCTTATCTTTTATGACAGAAGTATGCCACAAAGGACTGCTATTTCAGAAATGTCAACTGAAAATCTGAATCTGAGGTTTATTTTTAAAGTGAGGCTTATGTTACGAGAATTCTAAAAAAATTACGCCAGGTTTTTTTCAGTTCTTATTTTAGAAGAAGCACGATAATAACATACGGGAGAATATCTATGTCATTTGTAACCACTGTTGTTATTTACTTTGATTGTACCAATGTCTCTATAAATTTCGCCCTAATACTTTGGTTGCTTCACTGACAGTAATAATAGTGTTGATTGCGTTGGTTTAAACCCTGTTGGACAGTAATTAAAGACGAAGGATTCATGAAATTTCAGTATGTCTATGGATTTGGTAACGGTATTGCTAGGATTCTTGGCGTCTTGTATACCTATTGCTATCAGCTGCCTTTACCTTCTGTCTTGGGTTACTCCTTGGCCTGTTCGAACGCGAAAAGATCTGTTACAGCCAATGTTTGTCTACACTCCAGCTAATTCTGCAAGCGAACAGTTCAGGTCATTGTTGACTCATGATAGTGATGATGCATGCGGAGAGCTGCATTGCACCAAGCCAGATTTGTATCTTTCCGTTATTATTCCTGCTATGAATGAACAAGTAATTTCCGTTATCAGCCTTATTTTCTATGTAATTGATGAACTCATTTGAATTTCGCTTTAATAACATTTGTGATCAATTTCTTTATTCCTTTAAGAAACATTTCAATTATATCAAGATCCGACTATTGTTTGCTTACATGTTTTGGAGCTTAAACTGACTTTAAAAAGGATGTAAGCCGTATCACAATGAAATGTATATCATATCAAAATATGTATATACATATAAAGGAACATTGTTGGGCATAAAATACAGCAACAGTTCAATTGAATTATTTCCAGGAAAGGCTTCCGATCATGTTGAATGAATGTTTACCTTATCTAGAAGATCGACAGGCCGAAAATGATTCATTTTCATACGAGGTAAATATTTTGTGAAACCAGCGGTCAACTCAAATGTTACTGAATGGAATTTTCAAAATAAGTTGTTTCTAGATCAAAGAGAAAGGCGTAACTTCTGAGTCATAGAAATGAAATACAAAATTGAAAATGTCCTTTTATCTCTAGATTTCAACATTTTCGTTGTGAAGAGTGTAACAAGGTGACATGCGTTTCTCTTCTGTCGAGACGTAAAATTTACATTGAAAAATCAGAAAGTATTGATTAAATTTAGGAAAAATTTTGAAGGAATTTTGATTCATTTCAGTTGAGAAGATAATTTAATCCAAAATAGTAACGAAGTAAATTGATTATTTATTCCGCAAGCTGTTTCATAACTCTGTTGCAGATTATTGTGGTAGACGATGGTAGTACAGATAGAACTGCTAATACGGCCTATCAGTACACGGAAAAGTATGAGGGAAAAATCAGAGTTTTGAAGCTAAAGAAAAACCTGGGAAAAGGTATTTAATTCCATTTACTTTCTGGAAATTTTACTGTCAATAATATTGTTATAGGTGGAGCAGTACGCAGAGGCGTATTGTGTGCACGTGGTTCATTAATTCTCTTCGCAGATGCAGATGGTGCTACAAAATTTGCCGATTTTCAGCATGTAGAAAAAGAACTGCTTGGTTGTATTTCTGATGGTTGTATTTCGGAAATAAAAGCCAATGTTAATTGGATTATCCCTGTTATAGCTATTGGTTCAAGGTATATTTAATCTATTTCGAATAAGGAATTTGCTGCAATGAAGAACTGTTGACTACAGTAGTTTCGTTCGCTTAAAAAAACCAAGGCTTTGTTTTGTCATAGGTTTGACATTTATTATTTTACTAGATAGGAATCTCCAGAATACTGATTGCGACATTTCCAGATTTTAAAGTCTTTTAACTGCCTAGAGGATTTGACTTTTTTGCATTGATTTTACCTTTTCGAAATTTTGCCCTTTCACTTTTAAAACTTCTCAGGCATTCGTCATATACATTATGCACTCATAAATGAGCCGGATAGTCACCATTTGAAGTACCAGGCATCATTGCCATTCTCAATAGATTATGCAAAATGTTTTAAAGCACCAATTTCTTTGTAACCGACATCAATAGATAGTATGTTTGCAATTTCACGTAAGGGGAAGGAAAACAAATCTGTATTCTGCTTTTTTCCAGATCACACATGGAACAAAAAAGTATAGCAACACGTTCTTTAGCACGAACGTTTCTAATGATAGGTTTTCATCTGATTGTGTACATTTTTACGGTAAGAACAGTGCGCGATACTCAGTGCGGATTTAAATTATTTACACGTGGAGCAGTTTCAAAGGTGAGCTCCTGCGTTTTTTTTTTTATTTCCTAATTTTACAAAGATAATATTCGCTCCCCATGCATTTCTGATATTTTTCGATTTCCAGTTCACTTATTTAGCAATGACATCTGTAGATTAATACTGAGTTGAACAGTTGTCTGCCGTTAGTGCTCTTAATTAGTTCTCATACGTTGGAAATGACTTCATAATTTCTTATTTAACTATATTTTTCAAATGCAAAACAAACACAAATTTTATAAATAGATAAATCTGACTAAATCTAATTTTTTGGATTCCTATATTTTCCAAATGTGTGACTTTCGAATTTTGCGGGAAAAATTTCACTTAAAAGTTGCTGAAAAAAACAATTCCCAAAAAAGAATTAGGAATTATATACTACAGTATATACATGTGTATATTGCAGTTATTCCCACTGTTGCACGTCGAACGGTGGGCGTTTGATGTTGAGTTGTTGTTTCTCGCCGAACAGTTCAACATTCCAATTTGCGAAGTACCGGTAACATGGCATGAAGTTGATGGTTCCAAAATAGTGCCCATAATTTCATGGATTGAGATGGGTCGTGATTTGATACTCATCTGGTTTCGCTATAAAACTGGTATTTGGAAATATAGTTTACTTTGAGATTTATGAGTTTAAGTTAAATTTAAATATATTGGTGGATGGCACCGCGTTATTTTAGATCCATGTTTTTTGGATGCGGTGCATTTTAGTTATGTGATTGCGCTTTCTGAAGGATGCTTAATATTACCAGTAACCTTTCTACGTATTCTGAAGACTGACTGTTTACTTTGTTTTACCGTACGTTAGTCAACGAATATGTGACAGCGTTTTCAAACATACTAGAATCTTCTGAGAGTGTATCACACCATATTTCGACGCTTTTCCTTTATTATCTTTCCCATACTTCGATGTTATATATCCGAACTGCATAGGTTATTTAATCATTTTTGATAACATTAGCTAACGACTCCCTTATGAACACGGTAGTAGATTTTGTCTGGATCTATATTCAACATGCTCACGGTTTATTCTATTGATATTTTTCATTTTATTTCTAATCTTTATTAATGTTCCATGTTTATAGCTTTATTAGAGAATGATATCAGAAAATATGGAAGCAGGCTGTGATAATCTTAAGATGAATTATGTTATTCACTTTCCGTACTATTTTTGGTTCTTGTTGTTCATATTATTCTATTCCAAAGTGTCATAAAATTCCCAGTTCCACTTTTATGGTTTGTCGGTTCATGGGCTCACCTTCGGCCTTCTGTTAATGAAGTATTGCTTAATGAAGTACATTAATGAAGTATTGTTATTGATTTTTTCATTCACTGAACAGCTCACCACTTTTAGCACTACTCAAGGAAGCTCTTAAATCACTGTAATCTAGACCCGGGTAGACTAGTTTTAAACTTTTGTTAACCAAGCAAAACAAAACTTTTTCAGAAGCTTTTTCAAAAGCTGAAGGACAATTGCAAAATATGCTGAGGTTTCTTTCTGTTTTTCAGAAAAATGCCTGAAAATCAGAAGAAATCTCGTCGGAAAGGTAAGCAAAATACCGAAAACAAACTCGTTATGGAAGTGGAAAGAGTGCTAAATGTAAGCTTATAAAATATAATGTACGTCAGTTCAAAATTTTTTGTTTCTGTTTACAATTCTATGATTGCATCAGAATAATGCATGAATAAGTGCTTTTCATTGTGTAGATTGCTATTTATGAGTTCTTTATTAATTGAAGTATATCATTGATCACATTTTTGTCAAGAAAGTTCAAAATTGTTCCTGTCCAGAAATTGTGAGAATTCTACAGTTTTTGGGAAGCACTTTTTGCGTTATGGTAACCTTTTTCTTGCAGGAAATTATAGAAAAGCTGAAGAAGCAGTAGTTAGTGAGAGACTAGACTAATATGAGGGGTGAGCAAAATTTTGTGCCCCAGTACATTTGTCTTTTAATGAATTATGTCATATTGTAAAATTGTAAAATCTCATTACGATGCGATCGGAAACTGGTTGATTAGTGCAGAGCATAAAAAGAAGTTCTTTTACAGACATACGATACTGATAGTGATTTTGGCAACAATGCGATTCAGTGGGATGTGACTACCTACATATCAAAAATCAAAGTGTTTATCATAAATGAAAGCGAAGATGGTATGGCGCTGGAGTTTGATTTAGTTGGCGTTGAAGCCCCAATTGCTAATGCCATTCGAAGGATATTTATTGCCGAAGCAAGTTTCCGTATTTCATTGGCGAACATTCATGCAATCCAAATTTCATTTCAATTTCGAAAATCCTGATTGCATTTTCATATTCATGCCGTTTGTTCTCCGCGTTTGTTTTGTTATATACTGCGTATCACCGGTATGTGTGTTAGAAATTCCGAATGAAAGTCGAAGTTCACCAATGTTATCATTTTTATTGCTTTCAGCTCCCTACCATGGCAATTGAGAAGGTTTATCTCTACCAGAATACATCAATTATACCGGTATAGTGTTTTCGTACAAGTTATTTCTTGAATTTTTTTCTTTTTTTTTGGGAAGAAGTGAAAACTCCCTAATAAATTTAGGATGAAGTATTGAGTCATCGTCTTGGTTTGCTTCCAATTAAGGCGGATCCACGATTATTCAAAATGCCTCTTGCACAAGTTGTTGGAATCGATGAATCCGGTGTTGACTGTAATGAAGAGCCAGCTGGTGATCCGGAGAGGTTAATAAAGATAATTTTTCCATATTTTCAGTGAATATTCTTTTAATGTTTTGGGTTAGTAAGCGGTAAAACATTATTCTCTATTTCCAAGTCATTCAAGTGTGATTGCTACAGATCTTGGCAGGATTTGGCGGGACTGTACAGCATCCGAATAAACTACCGTAGTAAACTTCTATGTGTTAAAGGGTACATTTTCAATATACAAGAAATGCATGAATTGATGTCGAAGACGCATTATTAGAAAGTCGTGAGCGCTTAGAAATTTTATAGTTAATTGTGTAAATGTGACAAAGTATTTACCGTTTAGAAGGAATCATTTCAGAAATCTCATTTTTGAGATTAAAGTCACCTGCAGTCGGAATTCAAACGCTTTGAAAACAGCTACAAACCCCAAGGAAATTTATGAGAATGCTTTTGTTTATTCAAATGCATTCAAATGGATACCAATCGGCGATCAGTCTAGCTCACTTCCGTATCCTCCAGCAATGGTACACGATGATATTCTGGTTGCGCAACTACGACCTGGACAAGAAATTGAAGCTAGGCGAGTCAAATTCACTTAAATCTTTAGGTAAATCATCTTTAGCACTGAAAACATGATATTTGCAAGGAAATTGATTCAGTCCATGCCTCTTTTTCTGTTCAGATTCAAGTTTCGTTCTAGGTGTCATTGCTTGAAAGGATTAGGACGCGACCATGCAAAGTTCTCTCCGGTTGCCACTGCATCCTATCGTTTGTTACCACAAATAGTGCTAAAAAGAAAATTCAGCGGTGCAGATGCTCAAAGAATCAAGAGCTCTTTTTCAGAAGGTGTTATTGAAATTGATGCAGGTTAGCTCATCCTTTCTCCGGACTAGTGGACTCAATCGGTGGTCCGCGAGAACTAAAATGTGGTCCACGAGAAGGATGGCGCAATGAGTAAAAAACAGGCGGTGTTGTGAAAAAAAATTGTTACCTAGTTTGGAGGAAAGTGATAATGAAGTTCTGTTTTATTTGAATGAAGTTGTGTTGCTTGACACAGATGAAGTGGTTGATGAAGGTCTATTGACGACATAGTTTATTAGTTGTTGATATATAATAATAGCTCAAATCATAAATTGAAATATAATTCAGATGACTGAATAGAATGGTAGTAATAATGATTAGAAGGTCTAATATAATAGGACGAAGATGTTAACAATCGTAAATGATAAAAATCCAAGTCTAGTTTCTAGTGTTTATGTAGTAAGTGGATTTACATATACAAATAGCTGCATGTAAGATCTTCACAATTTCCAATAGCTGGATACAAGGTTTTTACAATATTACAAAAAGTGCATGTAAAATTTTTATAACAATCCAACAACTGCCTACAAGATTAATCCTTAGGCAAGAAGAATTTACATGGAAATTAGATAACTGTCAATCACTTTATGTATGGGAAACATTTATTTGAATTTGTAGGTGAAGTGATGAATCCTTTATTTAGGATATATTTTAAACAAATTTTAAACAACAAGCATTCTGATTGGTCATATAAATTTCTCTTGATTTGTGACAGGCGGGTTGCTTCGTCTTTTATTTTTTTTGTGCTTTGATTCGTTTGTCGGCGGTAGTTTATTGGGGTTGTGATACTGTACTATAGGTACCGAAATCTCTTTGTTAATGTTTGTTTTCAAATTAACAGAATTTATTATTTTTGAACGTTGCGGTCTCTGCTATAAATAAAGAAATCAAAGTAGTCCCTGGTCAAAAAAAGATTGGGAATCACTACTTTAGATACTGCTTAACCCCAATAGCCTTCTTTATGCTTTGGATAAGGAAAGCTTTCTAGATTATCATATATAATTAATAATCTGCAGCATTGGTGGCCTCAGCTAAACTATTTGACCTCTGATCCTCCTTGTGCTGCTGCAGCTGTTGTGCGAGCGTAGCATGTCTTTTAAGATATCATTTCAGTTCATCTTCCCCTCCTTTTCGCTCATACTTAGTTTTGGGTTTAATCAATGAATTTGTTTGAAATAATTTTAGGACACTTTCGAATTCAAAAGAAACACGCATATATTTTTGAAGACTTATCAATCTTAGGAGTTTTCTGTCAATTTCAGACGGAGTAGCTGTTGTGAGAGATGCACGATGTGACACTTGTAGTCGCAATATTTTACGACATGAGGATCTGGCAGAACACATTGAATTGTCAAGGATCAAAGACCATTTCATTTGTAAGTTCCAGTCATTTTTCGGCACTTCATGTGCTACTTCTATGGATCGTGGTGTTTATGCTTCTAATATTCTGCAGGAATCCAAATTTCTAAATGGGCCTTCTAATTACATTCTCTAGTTCTCTTTATGACTTTCCCTTAACCTTGACTTTCATTACACTTTATTGCCTTCGGGTCGATAACCATAATGATTAAGTACTGTAGTACGTAGTTAATTAACGTTGCATAATC